TTACAGTGAGTTTCCTACCTAGCCTCCTTCCATGATGCAAGTGTGTTAAAGCCTTGACATGGGTCATGTGAAAGGCTGAATTCAGATATCAACTCAAACTCTTAGCATGACAGTGCAGCTAGAGCAGCATTAATTGTTCATTACAGAGCAATTAACACACAGCTAGAGTTAACAAATATGAGATGACCCAGAATTTCAGTATTAGGAGGTAACACCTCAAAACTGGTGCTAAATGAATAACATTCTGTGTTCACAATTCCTCTGTGCATGCTCTGATTAGAAAGTATTATTATCACGAAAAGCAACCACTGGATAGCATAGCTAATTGTACCTGTCCAGCATTAAAGGTCCACTTTGAAATTAGCATAGATCACTTTTAGAAAAAAAAAAAGGTACAAAATCTGGTACCCTTTTAAAAGGTACTAATATGTACCATTTAGGTACTAATATGCACCCTTTAGAGATGGGTGAGGTTCCTACCATTTTTACTCAAGCGTGAATACATATTTCTGTGGATGCGAATGTGAGTTTGCACAGTTTTTACATAAATAGCCTTAGCTAAGTGAGCGACTACATACACAAGTTTAGCAAGGTTGTATTTAAGATTAAATATCTATATACTGTATCAGTGGTGTTCATTACATTACATCAAAAAAGAGGAACCACATACTATTCTATTTTCAATTTTTGAATTAATGTCCGCATCTATTCCAAAAATAACAACCAAAAGCCGTAACAATTTAAACAATATATTTTATTTGTGAACTGATTTTCAACTTATTGGTCACCGATGTACCTTTCGTTTCTCAAGTTTATTGCTTACTTAAGCACAACAGCCGTTGTGTTTTTAGGCAATTTTCATGTTTGATTTTAATCTGACATAAAGCGGTGATATCTAAGTGGCTGAGTTGTTTACTTAGTATGTAATTAGTCTTCCCATTAAAGCCATAACTTTGTTTATTCAGACCGATTTGCGAACATGCACGAAAACAAGAGGCAGGTTTTATCACACTAACCAATCAAATCCTATCATAACCAATCATATCCAATTATACTACAATGGAGGTATTGCCTCCTCTCGCATGACTTTCTCAATTACCCCCACCAAACCCACTGCATGATTTAAAATGGGTTTAGGGGAGGCAAGAGTGTTACCTGCTGGTGTCACTGTTACTTTAGAAAAACGAGTGGTTTATATACTTTTTAATGTCACATTTGCTTTGATATATTTTTGTAATATGGATTATTTTCTCTTTTTTTTTTTTTTTTGAGGAGGCACTACCTCCATCGCCCCTCCTATGTGTAAAATTCCATCTAAACATATTTTATAAGGCCACCAAGAGTATGTGATGTATGCGTTCAGTTGTTTTTACGTTTTTGTTGTACTAAAAAATAGTAGTTCATGAAAACATTTGTACAGTACACAGATATCACACACATTTGTACATACGCATGGTCCATGAATGAGACCACTGTGTTTGGCTACTTAGCATGCTGTAAATTACTGTCTTCTCCAGTCAAACGTATTATTTAAAAGTGTCTTTGCGACATGATAGTCACTGCCAGTCACCAACGATGACAGCTATTCTCTAGAAAAACAGTGAGAAGTGTTGTGTTTTCAGTTAGCATCTAGCTACAGTTTGTGTCGGCTCAAGATAAACAGATTGATGCGCACCTTGTCAACAAAGCCTTTCTGCCAGAGTAGCTGCCTCTCTCGAGAAGAAATCACTGATCGATCCATCTTCCAGCAATTTGCTTTTCTCATTTAAAGTATGATTTATCAACAAATTGAGCTTTAAGAAGATGCTGGCAAGCGATTTAATGGTTGTAGTGGATTCATTTTCTTTTCATTATGTTATTACACGCTTGGGTAGTCGGCGGCATTGTGAGATATTCTGGTTGTCGTGATGAGGCATGCCGTCTTGCACAGTCTTCTGAAGCGTATACACAGGTCGCGAGACTGGAGACGTTCCATTTGCCCCTATTTCCTGTGAACTGTCATTAGCATGCCCATCATAACTCTGAATGATAGGCTTTCAGGTTGGAAAGACACCATGCTCTGGGGCTTGTCATTGTGTAGCTATTGACTGATAGATGATGAGAGATGATGTGAGTTTCAAACACTGGTCACAACTTGATGACTGTGTAGGGCTCTGGTTGGTATTTTCCACAGCCCTTTGATGCCACCGTCTCAGCGGAGTGTGAATCTCTGCCGTCAGATGTGTTTTTTTAAACTGGCTTAGTTGAATTTTGATTGCCGTGAACCGGCAGTTATTAGGTCAGGTAATGGATGTGAGTTCAACCGTTTCACATCAGCCAGTGTTTGGACCGGTACAGGATCATTTTTTGTCGTTTGCTTCTAATATTGTTTGTGCGGTAGCCAACTTCAGTTTATAAGAAGGGGTGAGTGAGCAGGTCATTTGAGTTGATAAGGTTTTGGAGGGTCAATATGTCCAAAAATAGCTTTTAAAGGGTTAGTTCGCCCAAAAATGAAAACTATGTCAGTATTTACTCACCCTCATGTTGTTCCAACCCCGTAAGACCTTCGTTCATCTTCAGAACTCGAATTAAGATATTTTTGATGAAATCTGACTCTGAGAGCTGGATCACTCCTCCATACTAAGTTAGTCCATAGGCTTCTTGAGGGATTGAAACTTGCCGGCCTCGAAAAGTTATTAAAGACATCGTTAAAATAGTCCATGTGACTTCAGTGGCTCAATCTTAAGTTTATCAAACGACGAGATCACTTTTTGTGCGCAAAAACAAAATAACGACTTTATTTCAACTTAATTTCCTTCTCTTTGGGCGATCACACATCTGACCAGCGTCGGCCTAAAGTGAGCCTACGTGTGACGTTTAACTGACTAGAGGCCCAAAGAGAAGGAAATTAATAGTTGAAATAAAGTCGTTATTTATGTTTCTTTTTGCGCACAAAAAGTGATCTCATCGTTTGATAAAGTTATTGAGCCACTGTAGTCATTTGGACTATTTTAACAATGTCTTTAATAACTTTTCGAGGCCGGCAAGTTTCAATTCCTCAAGAAGCCTATGGACTAGTATGGAGGAGTGATCCAGATTTTATCAGCTCTCAGATTTCATCAAAAATATCTTGATTCGTATTCCAAAGATGAACGAAGGTCTTACGGGGTTGGAACAACAAGAGGTGAGTAATTACTAACAGATTTTTCATTTTTGGGTGAACTAACCCTTTAAGAATGTAGTTTAAGACAAGTGCCTGTTCTTAGAATCGTACTGTTTTCTGATTGGTTTCATAAGTTTTTGAAAAACTTTTGTATCATTTTCAAAAAGTTTTAATGTAATTAAATCAATGTAATGATATCTAATGATATGGGTTTACCATAAACAAAAAAAAAAATCTTACTTTCTTACTTGGAATCACACCATGTGATATTTTACAGCCTGAACATTACCTTGTTATAAAAAGGTAAATTTATTTGATATTTAAGATACTTGAACTTTTAATAAAGCATATAGGGAAATTGTACTTGCGGTTTTCCTATCAAAAGCTTTTAATTATGATTATTTTAATGAGGTGTTTTTATTCAATATGATATCATGATATTGCACAATCCTGAATTTTATTTCATTTCATTGACCCTGGAGTCAGGTGTTTACTGTTGGAATTCCCGCAGTGATCTGCCTTAACATGCAGAGTTTAGAAATACCCCAGTGCTTTCTCAGCTAGCAGCAATTAGCACAAACTCTGGTGCTCCTCGCTGGCTAATTACTGCTCTGCTATCCAGGACGCAGGAATACATTAACACTTCAGTTTAGCATTTTAACCCCTTGCTACATGTACATACACTTTAAACTGCTCTCATTGTAAACTCAGTGAGGAGTGAAGTGTGATCATTTCTTTTTCAGTAGCTTGGAAATTGTTAGCATTTAAGGTCGTGAAAAGGGGCAAAAAGCATTTACCACCACACACTTTTTTTAGCTGGTGGCCAACTGGTATCTAACAAGCACAAATCTATTGTAGCAAATCAGACCAACCAGCTTGAAGGCTAGCTAAGACGTAACACATCTGAGGCTAGTTTAGGTGTGGCCAGTTATCAGGGCAGACACCTCAAGGGGGCAAAAGGGGGCATTGTCCCCTCAGATCTGATATGCATTTGATCATAGTTTCCGCAGGAAACAATGATCTCCTCAAGAATTATAAATGCCCAGTTCATGTGTCCTGGCGTCGGTTCTGCCAATTATTGTCCTGGAGGTTACATTTTCTGAGAAATTTAGCTCCAATCCAAATTAAATACATCTTATCCAGGTGATCAAGGTCTTTTGGAGTGCTGTAAACTTCTAGGCAGGTGTGTTGGGGTAGGGTGCAGCTAGACTCTGAAACCCTGGGCTAGTTTAAGCTATTTGCAGCATTCACAAGGAATTATAGACTTCTAGAATTCTCCAAAAACAAGGGTTAAATGGCTGCCAAACAATGCTTTGGTGGTGCTGCGTGAGAAATGTCCATTTCCTTGAGGAAACTGTGACACTTTTTTTTTTTTTCAGAATGTTTGAAGAATAAAAAAGGTCACTGAACAACATTAATTTGAAATAAAATTCTTTTGTAACATTATAAATGTCTTTTTTCAACAAAATAATGATGCACAATGTTGAGTTCTTTATTTTTTTTAGAAAAGCTACATTTTTCAAGGCTTGTACTGTACGTTTTCTTTTGAATGGACAAGGTTGCATCATCATTTTCACCTTAGAACCTCAAAAGCCTCATATTTTGTTTTTCTTTCTTCCCTGTTGTCTTTTTGCATCTCTGACTGACTGTCAGACAGCATATGTGGCACTCTGTAAAAACTAAGTGAACCAGTTACCCGGGCACCTGTTCTGTTTGGCTCATGTTGAGCTTTGCTATAAAAACCTTCTCTTTTTGTTGTTGTTGGATGAGCTTTCTAGCTGCTGATTAAACCCATGGCTCAAACCCTTAGGGGGCTCGCTGACCTGAACTAACTCCCGCCTCTCTCTTTTCTCTGTAGGTACAACCAGGGAGCCTAGAGAAGGAGAGGTTCCCGGAGTAGACTACAACTTTGTGACCGTTGAGCGGTTTGTGGAATTGGAGAAAAGTGGAGCTTTGCTGGAAAGTGGAACTTATGAAGGTAAGTTGGCTGAGTTGCACAATCATATATCAAGTTATAGTTTTTTTTCCTAATATCTCATTGCTGGGATTAGGGATTTGAGCAAGCCCTAACCTAACTAATCAACTGCTAGCCAAGTATTAAACTTTGGTGGATAACTCAATGTGCTACGGACATGAGTGATACCTCAAATCATGGAGATTCTTGAGTTAAAGTTTGCTATTACTTCTCTAAGCGGTGAGCAATACAGTCAGCTAAAAAAGTCCATAGGTTTTCATTGTAGGAGGAAACTTTACCGTATCTGGGATCAAAATATCAGTAGTGTATCCATGTAACATTTGTTGGACTAACAGATGTTGAATTAAAAACTTGCAAAGGAAACACACTTTCCTAGATGTGACTTTGCCTCAACCAAGGTATTTGCCTGAATAATTCTGTCAGAGAACAAAAGAAAACATCTCGCTCTGGTCTTCATAATGATTGGCTACTATAACCCCCTAGAAGTGTTTGACGCGCTCTCGCTCCAAGACAAAGGGGATCTGCTGCTGATTGCTAGCAAACATGAAGCTCATCAGAGCGTTTTGTTTATGCGCATGTCATTTATTACAATTAATAATGAGCCACAGTGGCGTCCCCAGTGGCTACAACTTCTATTTCCATTTCTATTATATGACATTTTCCCCTGGAAGGGACAATTTATTTTCATAAGCTTATGGGATGGCAATGCTGCTTTATTAGAAATTTGTTTGCCGATATTCTGATTTTTGAGACCCTCTGTGAATAAAAGAGGACAGACCTTGAGAAAGTATCTGATTGGCAGAAACATAAAAATACCCTAAAGGGAATCTGATTATCTGGGGTCTTGTGAGCTTAGCCTTTCTTCTCTTCAAAAGTCCAACAACTCCATCCCTTGAATAAATATCAATTTCCCTCTCTCTCCTTTAGTCCATTGACACTTTTATCTCTGAGTTGGCTGTGAACTATTGACTGAAAAGGACAGAAAAAAATCTCTATTTGTGAAAAACATCGACTCTTCACTTACATTCTATTTTTTCTCATCAAATCTTCCTTAGTGCTCTTTTGGTGATTTAGATTTTCAGCATGTTTAAAAGATTGTGACTGGCACGGTAACTCAGCTCAGCTTTAATAATGTAACTTCAGGTATATACGTGGAATATGGGATGGTTTACAAAGGGTTTTAAAATCTAATATATTAAATAGTGTTTAAATAAAAAAAAAAATCATGTCCTGACTGACACAAGTATACAAATACATACAAATTTTACACGTTTTTTGCATAATTTGACATTAAAAAAATACATTCGCACTTATATTGTGTGATATTCACACATCACATGGCTCATAGTTTATTTCAAGCACGCTCTGATTATCTTCTTTGCAACCAAGTTAACTAACTTTTGAGAAAATATTATTGGGACAAATTTGTGTAAAAAATGATATAAATCATTTCACACAATGATAAATGCGGTGGTTCAAACTTTCAAACGTATTATAGTTCTGTATATTAAAATATGTTTCAGAGTCTGGTTCTGTGTCAAGGGTTAATCGCTTAATCGATTAATCGCATCCAAAATAAAAGTTTGTGTTTACATAATATATGTGGGTGCACTGTGTATAATTATTTTATATATATAAATACACACACATGCTTGTATATATTTAAGAAATATTTTCATATATATATACTGTATATAGATTTATATATAATTTATATTATATATAAATATTTTATATATAAATAATATTTTTTTCTTAAATATACATGCATGTGTGTGTATTTATATATATATAAAAAATAATTATACACAGTGCACCCACATATATTATGCAAACACAAACTTTTATTTTGGATGCGATTAATCGAGATTAATCGTTTGACAGCCCTAATTAAAATATAAAACAGTTATTTTAAATTGTAACAATATTTTACAGTATACTACTGTTTGCTGTATTTTTTATTAAATAAACAAAAAGAAAAGAGGAAATATGCATTTATATTTCTTCTTTTTTATTACTTTATTATTATAAAATTATATACAAAACATTTATTTAAGACTACAGTCAACTAGTCATTATCACAACAATAACGAGCAATACAAAATGGACATGAAATATTGCATTTAAAATATTAATGTTAAAGAAGACACAAGAGATGTGAAAGTAGCACAGTCATGTATAAGAAGTCGGACAGTTCAAGGTTAGTTGTTTAGTTGTCCAAAAATAATTAAATAAATAAATCCGAATCAAGTATTTCAGACTTGATAAACTTAGCTGCAAAGAAACACTTACATCTGTGATCCATTCATGCTTTATTCTATTGCAATTTTTTTTAAATCCATTTTTATGAGTTACAGCTGTTGTATGCTGTAGCATCATGTCAGGTAGTGACCCAGGGAGAATTGAAGGCACACTCAACCAGATGCCCTGCTCTCCTCAAGAGCCTGTTCATCCCAGGGGAGCCATGGCACTATTACTGAGTCTGTAAACATAAAACAGCACTCGCTCACACACTGACCGTTTAACAAACACTTTGTGTGTGATACTGGTATCGGACTTTTGTGTTTTATTGGTTTATTTGCAGAGACATGATTTTCACAAATCGAGCTATGCAAAAAACAGTTATTACAAACACATTACACACTGATTGATTCATATCATAGACATATTTGTATATAAAGCTAGGTTAGGATATTGGCAGCAGGGGCATGTTCCTATTAAATAATTATTAATTAAAATGAATTATTAAAAACAATTCAATTAACGCTTACACAGTATTTAGCCTTAACATCAGCTTAATGGGTTAGTTCACCTAAAATTTTGAATTACCAAATGGTTTACTCACCCTCAAGCCATCCCAGGTGTATATGACTTTCTTCTTTCAGATGAACACAATCTGAGTTTTATTAAAAAATATCCTGGCTCTTTCAAGATTTCTCTTTGGAGATTTTGAAAAACCCCAAAAAGCCTCCATCCATATTTCAAACTTTATTATCTATAACTAGCTTCAGACAGATGGCCGAACGCGACCTCTGACCTAATGCATGAAATATAACTAAATAAACTATAAACTATAAATAAAACGAGAATTTTTAAAGAGATATGCCAGAGGATTTTGATATAAGAGTAATTAGGCTATCTTTAAATCCAAGCTTGTGACATTGACAATGACATTGACATTGATATTAGGTTAATAAACCTAAGCTGGTTTATTTTTTTTATTTATATTTATTTATTTATTTTTTTTGGCTGGTAGAAGTTTTGAATGACCAATAACCTAAAAATTTAGCAAATTTGCCAATGAGTGAAAAAAGTTCATTTCAAAACCTGATCCTACAGTACATCATACATCGCGTCGGTCAAGGTTACTCTTTTGACGTAAGTCGGCTTGCATATAGGCCGTCTGCCGGAAGCTAGTTATTTTAGTTCAAAAAATTTTAAATATGGATTTTACTCTTGCAAAAATCCATCACTTTGCTTCAGAAGGGCTTATTTTTACTTTTATGATGGATGGATGCACTTTTTTGGACTTCAAAACCAGGACTAGCCTGACTACGTCAGACTTCGTACTTCCGCTCTATTTAATTTTGCTTCTGTACTCCATAGACAGTAAAAGAAATGGACACAGCGACCCCATTGATTTCAATGGAGAAGACCGAAGCTCGATTATTGCACCTGCTGTCTGATAAACTGAGCGTGACGACAGTCTGACAGTTGTAAATCTTCTAGTAGCTGTGCCAGACAAATCTGAATCACTTAATTCCTCAAAAACGTTGTTGAAATATTTTGTCCCGTTGCTTTTATGGACTCTCTGTTTATGGCCTTCCACCTTGACTTTGTGCCTCCATGTCCCCCCGATTGCCTCATAGACAGTAAAAGATTGCCCGCAAGCTTCTCCTCCTGTCTATACGGTAATGTCTCTATTGTGCGACAGAAAGTCCCGTGGTTATGACGCAATCTTTAGCCTATTTTTGCAAAAACGGCTTCTACGTGGCCGTAACGTAAGATACAAAGTAATGGAGCATTTTATACATTGTCGTGTTTCTTTAGAAATGAATAATAGACAAATTAAGTCTTTGGACGCCTCAGATGTAAAGTTATTCGCTGTTAAAGTGACGCTAAAATGAATGGGAGTCAATGGGCTGCTAACAGCAGGTGAAGTTCTGCTACAATGGCGGCTCCCGCGAGGCTTCAACTTCTGGCAGATGAATTACCCCCTTGGTGTACTCAGTCTGAGACAGCAACATGTCTCTTAATTTTTCTCCGGCCTGAAAACAGCCGGTTCAATCAACGAATGGAGGGCGGGCTGAGAGCCGTGACGTAGATGCTAAGCGCCGAGTTTAAGATTGGGGAAATCGAAAACGACCGCAGATATGGAGACATGGGATGCAATTCGCTCTGTTGTCTAGAATATTCCCGGCATTTGCAAACTGAAACCCGACCAAGAAGAGTGTTTGTTAAACATTTTGAATGGAGGTGATGTTGTGGTACTCCTGACAGAGGGAGTATCTCGGTCTCTTTTATCTGTCAAGCTCGAACTACCACCATATTGACAGGTCAGTGTCTCCTTTCTTTTCCAGTTCTTAAATATTGCCATGTCATGCTGTAATATTGCAATTAAGTTGCAGAATTTCCGACAGACTCGAGATGAACAAAGAGCTGTGTTCAACAGAACTAATCCTAACTTTGACAGAGTTGGCTGCAAATATTTTCCTGTTTCTCTCTACTGTCAAATATTAGTTTAGAGGCCCCGATTGTGCCGTGTATGTGTAAATTTACTTCACATAATCTACAATAGTCGTTCACAGCCATGTGCACTCCGGTATTTCGCTCGATGGTTTCGTTTTCGCATCATATATGTGTTTACAGGTTTAGCTGGCGCATAACCAAACGTTATGTGATTGGCTTACGGGTAACCAATGATTTTATACTTCAGACAAGCGCCCCCCTCGCGATAAAGAAAACACTTTTCAATGATGCCACTCCAGACTCTGTCCACGAAGCAAAGCGAAGTATCATGTATTACCAGGCTAAATCAGGATGGCCATTCCCTCCGATTGTAAGGTTGAAAGAGCCAGGATATTTTTCAATATAACTATAATATTGTGTTCGTCTGAAAGAAGAATGTCATATACACATAGGATGGCTTGAAGGTGCTTAAATCATGAGGTCATTTTCATTTTTGGGTGAACTACCCTTTGACTATTTGTTTCTTTGATTCCAAAGTTTGCTTTAATGTTCACTTTCGCAGTTATTTTATTTTGTATTATTTAATCAAATTGTATTTAAACTTTAAAACACGTTAAGTTTTTCATGGTAATTCTAAATTTATTGATAATGCTATTCTTTTGATCTTTGTATTTATGGACGGACCGACAGATGCAAAGATACACAGATTCATAGATACATAGATACATAACATCATGGTGACAGAGCTTACATTATAAACTTTGAAATGTCAATTATACACCAAATGTCGGTTCGATTGCAGATAACTTTTACGGCACCCCGAAGCCCCCGGCAGAGCCCAGCCCGCTGCTGCTGAATGTAGCTGAGCAACTGTTGCCAGGCGCCACACCCAGATCACAGGGCAAACGCAGACGCAACAAGTCCGTCAGCAACATGGAGAAGGCTGGCATCGAGCCACCTGAGGAGGAAGAGGAGGAGAGGCCCGTCATTAACGGCAACGGAGTGGCCATCACCCCAGGTGAAGAGCTCTTAATCAATTTAAGAAGAAGAGAGATCTTTCATGCCATCTTGTCAGGGACGGGCTCACCGGTGTAGTAAATTCAGTTACTGCTGTGACCTCAGATCAGGGTTACTAGCGTAGAGATGATTATCGTGGGGCCACTAGGTGCATCATGTATCATAGCAACCACCTCCACTCTAAATTACCTCATAGCATTCACTGTTGTCAGGGCAATAGCCTAGCAACTGTCGTGCCGGCATGTTATCACACATTGCCTGTTTTTCGCTCCATAGGAGCAGCTCTGTGGGGTGGAAACATGCATCGAGTGTGGATGTACTGAGAAAAAAAAACTTTTGTTTTGTTCTGGCTCTAATACACCTACATGACATGGTGACTTAGAATCTAACACAGTTAGAGTTTGTTCATATCCAGTAATATAAAAAACGTTTTGTTTTTCTAGTTTTTCTAATACAAAAAAAAAATGTATTTCTCTGAGCGCTTTAATAGCTCAGTGCACTTAAATTCAACATGGCTCCATTTACTTTCTTAATACTTTCTTAATAAAAGTTCTTGGCCTTATTGTGCATGATTCATGCTATTTGAAAGAGAAAAATCTTTCACTCTTTTTTTATATAATTTATCTTTTTTTAATCTGTTATTAATGTTATCCTTTACTCAACCTATGTCGTCCAACCATAGACTATAAAAAAATACTTATCCAAACCCGTCAGACATATTTTTTTTTTCTCAAAACACAAGTGAAGATATTTTTTTTAATAAAACCAGAAAGATTTCTGTCCCGCATCAAGTCCACATAAAAACGGGACATAAAAACTTCTTGTATAGAAACAGAAATAAAATATGATAAAAATCGCTGAAAAAGTTTGATGACTTTGCCTCAAAATAAGGTTTAAAACGCCTTAGGCTTAAATGTTTCCCGCTGAAAAAGTTGGCTTAGTGGACTTGCATACAAGCCTCATGGTTTTCCCTAATAGTAAAGGATTGAAAACATGTATATAAATAGTCTATATATATAAAGGGGCGGGGCTACGTAAGGTCTATAAGATAAACTGATTTCATTTCGCCTTTTATTCACATAGAAACTTTGATCAACACACATACTGTACGTAAAGCACATCATATATTGTATTTGGAAGCTCAACTGTACTTGGTTCTAATTAGAGGACAATCCTCATTGATTCTCACGCTTTTGGCATATATGGTTGAGCTTTACCATTTAACCTTCATTTGTGTTTAGAAGATGAACCAAAGTCTTATGGCTTTGAAAAAAACATGAAAACATAAGGGTGAGCAAATAATCACAATGTTCATTTTTGGGTGAACTAACCCTTCGGCCTCCATGTCCTAGTCAAGTAGCCTAACTTAATTCCCAACCAATTTATTTAATGTTTAATATATTGTTTCACTCAGAAATGTATCACGTTAAGGACATAAAATAGTTTGTGAAATGTGTTTAATGTTGACTTTAATGGAGTTCTGAGTGATTCAGTGAAGTTTGTCTTCAAAGATATTTTTTAAATCTTTGGGGATCCCAATAAGACCATTTTTGACAGCAAGTCAGAGTATATACTGTAATAGATGTATAGTATTAAAATGAATAGCTCAGATAATTTGGCATTGAAATCTCTTTTCAGAGACTTTTGCATGTTTGGTATCCGAGCACAATTTGAGACTTTGATGAAATCTCTGAAGAGACGCATGAGGTTACTATAAGATATTTTCTTTTTATCTTAGATGTAAGTACTTTTTTCAGGATTTACAGTGTATGAAACAAATATATAGACTATAGTTATTAAATGACTGGAAATTATTCGTAATCCATTCACCAAGCGTGACAAAAGACTACTCCTTGATGCCTTTGAAATGATGTCTGGATAGAAAGCTCACAAGGTTGTGTGTGTGTGTGTGTGTGTGTGTGTTTATCTGTGATTGAGTGAAGCTGTCCTCTCATTTCTCAGTTGATTAATACATCAGTACTGGTGAATGTTATGGGATTCAGTGTCTTTTTCTTTCGTCTCTCCCTCTCTCTTCCCCTCGATCTGTCTTTTGCGCCTCTCCTTTGGGACCTCCAACCTCCATAACTCAAACTAGGACACGTTCAGTTCTCTCTTTCTTTCTCTCTCTCTTGCTTTATCACCACAGCCTCCATTTTAATCACCCCACTCTTATTTCACCGTCTTAGTCCGACTAACTCCAACTCTGACTGTTCTTCTTTTTCTTACAGTCTTCTGTTTTTCACTTTCTAACATGATCCTCTTATAGTGACCTGCTTTTCAATTCGCTCAGAAACTCTCAAACTCAAATCTCAGTTACATCTCTATCTCTCTCTCTCTCTCTCTCTCTCTCTCTCTCTCTCTCTCTCTCTCTCTCTCTCTCTCTCTCTCTCTCTCTCTCTCTCTCTTATAAATATTTTCTCTGTCTGTCTCACTCACATTCACTGGTTTTCTCTGTAGTCTTGGACTCAGAGTTGCACCAGCCGCACTGTTAAAAGTTGGAGACGTCTCCCAAAATATTGGATTCTTGTAAATTTGACAGGTTTTCTTTTTATAAGCGTAGCTGTTCATGGTGATTATTCTGTTGAATTCAGTTCACTATTCATCATGTTTATCCGCTTCTATTGTCTGGTTCTTTTCTGGATTGATAAAGCTGTGTGAATCAGAGATGTAGGTCTGCAGTTGTTAAAAGGGTTATAGATTTAGTTTAAACAATTTTGCTGTATTTTTCTTCTGTCAAAAGCTATTTTTCTAGTTTTCTTGCATTTTTTAGAGTCCAGTGAACATGAAGACAAGAGTACAGATGCCTCAGGAGAGATGCCCACCACATGCCCCTCTGAGACTTCCACAGATGCCCCTAAAGAAGAGACAGAACCACCAAAATCGCCTCCCAAACTGGATGAGAATGACGAGCTGGGTCCGCTGCCAGATAACTGGGAGATGGCTTACACTGAAAAAGGAGAAGTGTACTTCATTGAGTGAGTATCTCTATCCATCTGTGTATATATATATATATGTATTTTAAAGGTGCGTTCAGAAAAAAAAAAAACAATTTACATGCAGAAAGGTGATTTAAGTAACTTTGAAAATGGCATGGTTGTTGGTGCCAGACGGGATGGGTGTTTCAGAAGCTGCTGATCTACTGGTATTTTCATGCACAATCATTTCTAGGGTTTACAGAGAACGATTTCTGCTGCGTCATTCAGATGTTAGGATCAGAATTGAGTGTAAACAACACGAAAACATGGATCCATCCTGTCTTGTCTCAAAGGTTAAGGCTACTGCTGGTGGTCTAATGGTGTGAGGGATCTTTTCTGTGCCCCTTAAATAGCCTACCAGAGTATTGTTGTTGGCCATGTCCATCCGGTTATGACCATTGTGGCTCTCTTCTGAGGGCTATTTCCAGCAGGATAACTCACCATGTCTCAAAGCTTAGTGCATTCCTCCTAGAGAAACTTTTTGTTGTCTACAGTAGCAGTAGAAACAGCTCTGAGATCAGTGGCAGATAGGTAGACTCGCTTGTCTCGGTGAAGGGACTCGACTGACGGCAATCTGCCAAGGCCAGAGAAGTTGCAGCCTAGGGCAAAAAGATGGTGCACCTTTGATGTGCTCGCTGTCTATGACACTCCACACTTCACTTCTGCCCTTGTGTGTCTTCATCCCTGGTTTCTCTTACTGTTTCATTCCCCCCTTATAGAAAAGAAAATTAATTTTTATCTAAAAGCGTATCAAAGGACAATCTATTGGCACAGTGCATTTCCACAGCTTATGTTCGGTTGCTTTGGGAGTTTGAATGTGACTGAATGCATTTACAGAGACATTTTGTCATGATTAATATGGTCCAGCATGAGTGTGTGCGTGTGCGTGGTGAGAGATAGACATATGGAGAAGTGTCTACAGTTTGAGAATTAAAGCCGCTCCGTCTGTGAGGGAGATCGAGAAAAACAAGGCGCCATTGGCTGCTTGACAACTCCATTAAATCCCCAATAGTCACACTGTGTGGGCCAGTTCAAACTGTGTGTGTGAGTGTGCGTGTTGTGTTGTGCTGTGTCGTGTTACATGAAGCAGTGACAGACTGCTCTCGCGTCATTCAGATTCAGTCATATTTAGCTTCTGTCATGAACGATACAACAGAAAATAAGTACTATCCCTGTGGAAAAGAAGTACTGTACAGTCACAGTTTGAAAATTGAACACGCACACTAGCTATCAACAAGAGACAAAAATCAAATATATAGAAAAGCAAGTGAAGTGTATAAATATATGAGCAATATCACACGAGTAGGAGTGCAAACAAATTCTCAGGGAGGAATTTTGCTATTGTATGCCCTGACGTTTTTTTTAAATCTTTGAAAACACATTTTTCTTCTTTCCTTTTGAATACATTTTCAAATATAGATATATGATTTTAAGTTTTTGTATCGTATTTATTGGTATTTATAGAATGTTATATTGTGATTGAATGTGTACTGTAAAGCAAATTAAAAAAGTAAAGGTTCAACTCCTGTTGTTTTTTTAAATGTGCTCTATAAATAAAGGCTGAGTTGAGTTGAGTTTTTTTTAGTTGAGTTGAGTTTATGAGTTGAGTTTTTGAGTTGAGCTGAGTTGAGTTTTTGAGTTGTTGTCTTTTTTGAGTTGAGTTGAGTTTTTGAGTTGAGTCGAGTTTTTGAGTTGAGTCGAGTTTTTGAGTTGAGTTTTTGAGTTGAGCTGAGTTGAGTTTTGAGTTGAGTTGAGTTTTTGAGTTGAGCTGAGTTTTGAGTTGAGTTGAGTTTTTGAGTTGAGCTGAGTTGAGTTGAGTTGAGTTTTGAGTTGAGTTGAGTTTTTGAGTTGAGCTGAGTTTTGAGTTGAGTTGAGTTGAGTTTTTGAGTTGAGTTGAGTTTTGAGTTGAGCTGAGTTGAGTTTTGAGTTGAGCTGAGTTGAGTTTTGAGTTGAGTTGAGTTTTTTGAGTTGAGTTTTTGAGTTGAGCTGAGTTGAGTCGAGTTTTTGAGTTTTGAGTTGAGCTGAGTTGAGTTTTGAGTTGAGTTGAGTTGAGATGAGTTTTTTGAGTTGAGTTGAGTTTTTGAGCTGTGTTGAGTTGAGTTTTTCAGTTGAGTCGAGTTTTTTTGAGTTGAGCTGAGTTGAGTTTTTTGAGTAGAGTTGAGTTTCTTTGAGTTGAGTTGAGAGTTGAGTTTTTGAGTTGAGTTTTTTAGTTAGTACATTTTTTTGAGTTGAGTTTTTGAATTGAGTTGAGTAAATGCATAGTATGCATGAACAAAAATGCTTCTTGCTAAATTTGTCAGTATTTCATACATTTCTAATACAATATAAGAATGGGAAGCATTTTTTAGCGTTGCTGTTAAGCATCATGCCAAGTTGGAGTATGATCAGACATTTATTTAAATTCTATTATTAATTTGTGTTTACGTCGCTCAAATAGCACGATTAGTGAGCTATACAGTGAAGCCAGTATCCAAGCAACACACAAGTGACCAATCCTGAGTGGAGACGTCACTGTACGCATTCTACCAATAGGGTTCGGTATAGTTAGCCAACCATGCTGAGAATTTTAAGCTGAGAACAGTTTGTAATTGTCCCATGTATTACGCCCCAAATCTAGGCGAAATCGGAAAACCTTTAAGAAGCGTAATACATAATGTTGGGTTGTGGTATGGAATTCCAGCAATGTATCACTCCGGTCGATAATCAAACAAATTACACAAAATTAAGCAGAAAAGATAATACATTTATTTCAGAAATAACAAGTGAAATAAAGAGCATCTCTCCAGGGTGTCCCAAAGGCCAAAATAAAAATACATAAAAAAAACAGAACAAATATAAAAAGAAAAAAGGGGAGAATTAAAAGGATGTGTTGTTAGACATACAGAAGATAGGTTCAGATGTTACACCATGGATGCACTTAATCAAATCTGACATCACTAAATTTGATCATCGGCCGGAGGAGGGATTCCAGAGCTCTCAACCCGAATACAACCGAACCAACAATGAGCTCCTCGAGGAGTGCCAGCAGCGCCCTTATAAAGACCACGCCCCGACTGGACAACCAATGGCATTCGTACATCCCATCATTGCAACCTATTAGAAATCTGACAAACAAAACAAAAAGAGAGAAGAGGAACAAAGAGCAATAGAGAAAACAATCTACATAAACACAGGTCATAACACGTGTTGTACCAGGCTCAAGTGGAAACATAAGCGTTCCTTAACGTTCTTAGAACCGTTCGGCCCGACGGTGGAAAAGCGGCTTGAGTTGAGCTTATGCAAGAAATGCGGGTTCTAACCTGACCTGCAACATCTTCCGATTCCATTCTTTTTTTTTTGTACATAAAAAAAATGTATCAAAATCTAGCTTCCACTTTGACCAATGAAAATAAAAAAACAAACTTTCCCATGTTTTGCCAAAAATACAAATAAATTGTGTATAAGTCTGCTGTCATGGTTGGGTAAAAGAGGGAATATGTGGACTGCTTATACTTCACAGCCAACTCAATGAAACTGTAACATTAATTAGTGTAATTGGCTAATTAACAAGATGTAGTGTGAACATCTAATGTTGAATGAAATAAAGAAGATATAGAGAAAATATAAACATTTTAATTAGAATGTCTCCCACATTTGCGTCATCAGTTGCCGCAGTCATATTGGTTCTTCTTAGATGACCGTCATAGGAGCAGTCACGCCGCAGGACTATGACTCAACATTTCAGATACTGTCAGAACTTTGTTGGAGGCTAAGATTCATTGCAAAGGCAATTAGCTGTTGGTTAGCATGTGACACCAAAATCTGCCAGTTTTGCCAATTTTTTTAATTTTTTTTTTTTTATGATTCCTGAAATTGTGTACTAAACTGTTTAATGAAATCTCTGCTCATGTTCAGTTCTCCTCCCTCATACAGTAAGTTAGTCGCATCTTCCTCGACATCTCTCTCCTCCTCCTCTCGTTCTTGCTGTGCTAATGAGAAGCTTACAGCTAATTAAAAGTATCGATTGCCGTTTTGTTAAGCTAAACTTTTTTCTCACCATCGTTTAGAGATGAGGTCTCCTGAGACTTCATTTCAGTCTCTCTCGTCTCCTCAGTGTGATGATTTACAGTAGCAGCTTGCAGAACTCTCTTCTCCCTCTCTTTCTCTTCATCTCTTTCCCTTTCTGCTCCATTTCTCTCCTCTCCAGCCACAATACGAAGACGACGTCCTGGTTGGACCCCCGGCTTGCGAAGAAAGCGAAGCCCCCTGAAGAATGCAAAGAGAACGGTTGGTGTTTGTCTTTCATTTCTTTCTATACATTATGACTCTGTTTGCTTTAGTCTCCACATGGTGCAAGCTAAAGACAAATGTTTAAATCTACTGAAATAAAGCAACTAGACACAAGAGGCTGTTTTAGTAATTTGACCACAGTTATGAAGTGTTATTAAATAAGGTGTGAAGCAGAAATGGGTTGTTGATTTCATAAAAGTCTGATCTGATAAAAGATGTTCCTCAAATTCTTCCATCAAGTTCATTAGTCTATCTGCAGGCGGTTTATGATTGCCAAGCAATGCAACAGCCAAAGATATTTTTTTTATAACTTGATGTATTTATGCACAGTTCAGAGGGATTATCTGTTACTACAGTTTAGAATATGTCAGTATGTTTCTTTCGTTTACTTCATTCATACGTCAAGCATCACTACTATGATGATAAAATCATGCAGCTTTTTGAGGAGATAAGTGCTATTGGTTTTCAAAGCAATTGAATAATTGTGTTTGGCAGACAATAAAACAAGTTAAATAATCCTGTAAAGAAAAAGACAAGAATATTGTGAAGCAGAAGTAGCCAACATTGATACCATCCTGCAGTTTAGCGCCAACCCTAATGAAACACACCTGAACCAGATAATACACGTGTTCAGGATTACTTAAAAATAACAAGCAGGTGTGTTGGAGCAAGGTTGGAGCTGAAGTATACAGAACCCTGCTCTTGGTTGGCTACCTTTTTTTATAGAGACTTAAAGCTTAAAAATGCTGCCTTCGGGATGATGCGTTCCAAGGTAAGAAGCCATCAAGGCACATCCAAATGTAATGTTAGCTTCACTTCCTGTCTCCTGAGATTCCTACATCTGATAGATTTTTGAAGGCAGCCTTTGATATCCCACAATCCTGTACTTTTTACTTCTGTGACAGTAGAGCTAAAAAACAAAGATGGCATCTGAGTTGTGGTTGTTGTTGGTCAGTTTGTGTGTTTTTGACCAATGCTTTCCTTTTCTGATGTCATTTCTAGCAAGAAATTACTATTGTAGTAATTAACTATTTTCTTAGTTATCACCAAAACTTGCGCTATTTTCAGTAAACCATTACACTGCCTCAGAAGTCTGTCTGATATCAGTTTCGTGAGGTCATTGTCTGCTAGGGCCGCGAGGCAACAAGTCACTACCTAAGCTTTCAGACGCAGCCTTTAGGTTAATGCTGCCTTCCCGTGCTATTGGAATTATCATAACTACGAGTTTCACAGTTGGAAATCAGATGCCATCTCAAGTCATATATACTACTGGAAAATTCTTGGATCATTTTGATACCCAAGTTTCGAAAGCTATAAAGCTATAAGCCATAAACTTTACATAAGGCGGAAGAAAAAAAATGATTGCTGTATATTCAGAAGTGACAGAACCCTGACAGAATGTTTTATACACAGCAAACATTGCACGTATTTGTCTCTGAAATGACAAAATAGCGAGGTGAATGTTTACATGGTTGTCAATGAATGGGACTCTACATTTTATTTCAAATGAAATATCTTCAAATCATTTTGGCTTTAATAAGATTTCCCCAAGAAATAGGCAAGAATAAACCTGGTGTCCGTCATGATCATTATTCTGTTGGACAACAAAGCTCTTGAATGTGACAAGTTCAAAATTCAAGTTCAAAAAGAGTGAAGTAGGAAACCAGATGAAGACAGCATAAATTAATTGACGTGGACTGGCGAGCAACCACCTATGAACCACCTAGAACACACAACCATTGCTTTAACCACCCAGAACACCCTTGAAATCAATTAGCAATGTCCTAGCTACTAACCACAACACCCTTGATCAGCAATGCTGATCATTCAGAACTAATAACCAGTTAGCAGTACCTTAGTAGCCAACCACGGCACTCTAACAAATGCAACACACACACACACAAGTGGTACACTTAGCAAGCACATAGCAATGACTTGACAATGACCCAAAACACAATAGCATGTAATGGCAAGTTGTGCTACCTAGCAGTGAACTGAAAACTGCATTTTGGCCTTTTATTTACATGACAGTAGCATTTTGGAAGAGATTACACTCTTCAAAATTGCAAAATTGCATGAGTATGGTGTTCCTAATCATTCTGTTGGCGAGTGTAGCTGGCTTGGCGTGAATAATACAGCATTTTTTGTCATTTTCGTGGATCCTTGTGAACAGGGAGCAGGAACAGTGTTCACAAAGAAAAACGTTTCCGTTTTTAGTGCATCGTGCACGATCACAATGCCATACCAACCCCCTAGAACACCCTAAAAGCTGTATAACAACACCCTAGCAACCACTGTAACTGCAACTGTACAGCAACACCACCCAGAACACACTATTAACCATTAGGAAATGCCCCAAAACATCAAGGCAGTGAATCACATATTTAGCAAGTGTAACAATCCAATTTTTCTTTTGGTTACACTCTACTTCTAGCACTTATGAGTGTGTTTGAAATGATTTTGAGCTGAAGTATCTATAAGTGAATACGATGTTAAATTCATGATGTCTGCAAGGGTATTCACCGCTGTTATAGTTGCTGTAAGAGGATTTATTCATTACTTCAATTCATCTTCCTCTCAGTTCACACATTTGTGCGCTAAAAGCCAACTTCATGTTTGCTGTATAATCAACTGTCCCAGTCCAAGGTGCTGCTTGTTAAAATGCATGTGCGAAACAACGTGTTTCACATGTCAGCGGATTCCAGCAGTTCAAAGGGCTGTCAGCCGGCTTTGTGAAAACACTCATCATTGTGGATTTGCGCAGACGCGTGCGTTGTTGCGTAACTCGGCCGCCCTCTTTTGTTTGGGAAAATGAAGGGAAGACGCAGCTCTGGATGCAAATCAAAGTCGTCTGCTGTTTTCTTTAATACTGTCACCCTCATGTTCCTAGACTGTTTGTTTCCCCGCGTATATTTGCCGCAACACAGAGTGAAGTTTCCGTAGATATACCACAGTGTCTCTCCTGTTTACCTGTCATCTCGCCTCTCTCCCTGTGTCGATGTTTCTCTCTGATGGTACGAATTCCCTGGGTTTGCGAGTGAATGAATAAGCACAACTAAAATGTCTCTCTGTGTCTGTCGCTCGTGTTTCATTGCATTTCATCATTCCTGAAGCCGTCACTGTCAGCGAGCACCCCGGAAAATATCTAACGCGCTCACACTCGCTGTGAACAGGTTGTGATATGATTACAGAAACAGATGCATGGATGGATTGATGGATGGATGCGGCTTGATCACTTGACAGCTGTGTCAATACAGGAATTATTTTTGTTTTCTCAGTGATATTGGACAAATTAGCTAAATTAATGAACACAATGTACGCGCAAAAGCCCAACAGCGTCGCATTACAACACACAGCGGTGTGTTTTTTCACTGAAATGTTTATTCATGGCCTTTGTGCATTCTTAGAAGAACGACGAAAAAGCCTAATTTTCCTCTAGCTCAATTGAGATTGGATCTGAAATGGAATATTCTGGTTCATAAACATCCCCTGATAACAGCTTTTTTATAGCAGATATTGCTTTCAGTGACTTGCATTTTCTCATGAGTAATTAGTTTAGTTGCCGTCAGAAGTGGTTTTATCTTTCACAAGCGCTTAGAGTCACATAACACATAAATGTTCATTTGAAGGAACGCTGGGTTTTAGGCAAATCTATGTCTCCCTTTATCTCTCAAAAATGCTTCTAATGCTGAAGAAAGCAAACCCGTTCTCATTCATCTCAGTGGTAGTTGTTCGTCTTTAGTACGCAAGATTATGCTAATTTTGCTTCACGGCACTTCTGTAGACCATTTTTAGTGAGAAGAATTCCTGGTGAAAAACTCCATTACCCATTATTCTGCAAATAAATCTCCACCAATCAGAGAATAGTGACGAGCAAGTCAGATTTCCCACACTCTCAAAATAGCCTACTCAAAAACAGAATGCATAATTTGCAATAAACTTCTATATACATAATCAACAACTTTAATTCACTAGTTTTATTTTCCTCCATTATTTCTAATTTGATTATATAACTCACCATGCTTCATGGGATTGAAGCCTTTTTAAGTGCACAGTCTTGTATCTCTATCTTTTCAATTGCTTTTGGCTTCAGATCAAAGTTTATAATATTGTGATTCACCTCATAGCTGGTTGGGTTAGTTCATGGATTATTACACTTTATCAAAGACTTTTTTTTAAATCTCTATGGGAAAAATGCCTCCTGAACCAAAGTCATTGAAAAGCGGGAAAGTCTCTATAGTGTGAATTGTGGTTTTTGTTTTAAATCGATGGCCATGTGTTCCAAAAAAGAGAACATATAACCCGCAAGTATTCCTATTTTTACAAGTGTTTAAAATTTTCTGGAGGACCTAGGACTCTTAACAGGGAGGAATAAATATTATGTTTATTTGGAGTATAGTTCAACTATCACGGTAAAAAATAATCCTGTAAAAAAATGGTAAACAACTGGCAGCTGTGGTTTCCAGCATCATACTGTAAAAATACGACGTGTTACTGTTTTTGAAATTATCAGCTAAATACTGTATTGTCAGCTACAGTCTAAAACTTTAATTTAACAGCTATATGCTCTAACACAAAAACAGTAACACACCATAGTTATAGTATGATGCTGGCAACCACAGCTGCCAGTAGTTTACCGTTTTTTTACAGGATTATTTTTTACAGCGATTCTATTGTGCTGTATACCCTGATATTATTAAAAGACTGAAAAACTGCCTTTCCATAACTTTTTTGATTAAAAAAAAAACTATTTATGGAAGAATCCTGGAGAACAAATTACATTTTAAAAATGTATTTTAAAAAATATGAAAACGGTTATTTTACGGTTATCATTTAAAATAAACTTTTCAGTGTATTTTTTTAATCAATTTTTTTCTTCCCTATGAAAATGACTGAGGCACATCATGATTTTGTCCCTCAAATAAAATAAAATAAAAGATTGTTTCTTTCTTCTTGTCAATAAAAAACAACTAGCTTACCTGTCAAACAATGGCTATTACTAAAATAGTTACCAATCAATTCCCTTGTAAAATCTTTTTAAAAAATCCACCAAAGCCACTTTTTGCTCTCATGTGGCATTTGATTTTATTTAATTTAATTTTTCTAGAGCTTGTAAACATTGATTTAGCAAACCTATAAAGCTTTAGTTCTTATTGTTTTTCCCTCATACCATCTTTTGTTTCCTTCTTCTCCTCCCTTCTCTTCTCCGCCCCCCTCATTTCCGTAAAGGTCAAAGCTTTTAACAAAAAGATACTGCTGCCTGTTTTTACTGCAAAGGGCAGGCAGGGTTTTAAATAGCAAGATTATTTAAATATTGTGCAAACAAAATGCAAATATTAAAGGTAATTAGCTTGAGCTCACTGGGTAAATAGGGTGAGTTACTCTATATGTGGAGGCTACGAGATTAGTCCAAACTCTAAAATTTAGTTTTTATCACGTCACTCAATTGTTGTTGTTCCTTTTACTTTGTAAAAGTCCTCAGTTGATCCCACAGCACTCCATGACAATGGTTTGTGTGGTGTCACAGGAGAACTGGGGATTTTTATGTAATAATCTTTTCAGTCAGTGTGCTAATTTGTTTGTGTTGTGTATTTTGCCTTTTTTCTTTTCTAAACACATTTAGTTCAGCTCTATGCTCTGTTTGGGTGTCAATATCAATGATTCAATTTTCAACTGACAATGAGGCAGAGAGCTGATCTGAGAACAGCAGAATGTCTGTGGTGTCTCGCATAGTCAAGTAGACTAGTCAATGTCAATGTCAAAGAACTAGCGGCGACCAAAGCTGACGGTGTCGCCGCCTTTCATTGGATGTGTCTCGCTTGAACACACCAAAAGTACTAAAGGTGATTGTCAACCAGCTGTACGTTCTGCATCTGCGTGTAAGTAAATATCTGTCAGCTGATATCAATAGTCTATTTTCGTCATTCAAAAAGGGAAACCGAAACTGGGGCTGCAGATATACCGTACAAACCATAAACAAATCAGCACTTAGTTAGCATTTTGAATATCAATCACTTTCTTCATTCCACCTAGTTATTATGAACATTTTCACGCATTCGAACGCTCCGGTAAGATTATGTAAAAATAAAACGGGCTTCTGTCTGTTTCGTCTTGACTTATTTGCTTGCTTTTTTGCTATTATACTCGTTCACTAAGCTGAACAACCAATCAGATTTCTCCCTCTCACAGACGGCCCAACATCAATTCATGCTGAATCAGCCACAAAAAAATAATAAAATAAAATATGACGGGTGCCAACTTTGTGGAACACACCTAAAAAACAAAGCTGAAAAAACTACGTCAGACATCGCCCAACGGCCGACCCACAGCTTGGTGTGTCCCGGCCTTAAATGTTGTATTTCTGCTAACTTAACTATATTTTTCAGTGGCATGACAGAAGTTATTTTTTACATAGTGAAGCCTTTACTGCAGAGCCAACTGAGGCAACAAATCAAACATCTTTTCTCTCTCAAACAAAACATTAGGAAATGTAATTAATTTGACTGAATTGGTTTGTTCGCACGGTTCATGTGATTCAACTATCAATTCACTGATTCGTTTACATTTGTTCATCACTGTGTTTTCGGCTCAGTTAGAACAAATGAGCATGTTTTCTGTTTGATTACTTCATTTATTAATTCATTTATTGGTGTGCATAGTATTTGAATGGTGTATTTTTTTTGTAATTAAATGAATAAAATAGCTGTATATTTATGCAAATACTGTCTCTTTAAATAGTATAGGTCTAAGCTACTTTTTGTTATTAACTGGACAAGGGTGCACTGAAAAAAAGGTAAATAATTGGTATATAAATTAATAGATATTGGTATCTAGTTTTGGTATTCAAGTCAAAAATATGATTTAAACCTATAGATTAGTTTAAACAAACAACATTAATTTATATGGGTCAAATCAAGTAAAATAGTCTTTAAGGTTAAAATGACAGGTTTGGAATTTTTTTTTTTTTTTTTTTTTTTTACCATATAACTTGATTGTAGTTGAAATGCTTTTAAATTATAAGGCTTGGCAAGCTACAGTTTCCCTGTACCCTCATGGGCATCCCTCTCTCTTTCAGTTTATTTCCTGTCAACTTTCTCTACTCTCCTGTCAAAATAAAGGCAAAACACACACACACACACACACACACACACACACACACACACACATCCCATTACATAGCTGGCGCTGTAGGAAGAGGCACCACAGAGAATAGAGAGCATGTGACAGAAGCGTGAGCAATTTTCTCCACATTTTTTTTCTTTTTTTGGAATACCAGAGAAAGATGTTGTCTGAACATATTGTTTACCAAGCCATGCTATTTTTATATTACGTTGTTTGTGTTAATGGAAATGATCTGTCTGCGTCCGTGTTCTTTAATTTGAGCATTGTCAGTAGATCATCCACAGAATTTTCCACTCCCATCTGCACTTTTATGGGATTGCGGTCTTATGCTAATGTGTTTACTAAATCTGGCTCTATAGGTGGTTGCTGTAAAATGCTGCTCTAATATATTCAGGTCTCCAGATATGGCATGGGTCTCTCCTTCAATGTAAACCAATGGGATTTTTTTTTCACCTACAAGGAAAAAATTATAAAAACAATAATTTTGGAAAGTAATAATGCACTTCTTCTCAACAGGCTGCATGATTTGATATATTCATGCTCATAGCACAAATGAAAGTTTTATTGCACCCATTTAATACTTCCCTTTAAATCCTTATAAATGTTCATCCTAAAGATTGTTCTGTGGACTCGGTTGTCTTTACAAGTCCGCAGCACGGCAGTAGAGTAATACCCAACAGTGCTTTGATCTGTGTGTGCGTGCATGCGTGTGTGTTTTAACCAGATTAAGTGAGAACATCACACACTCGGTCACTTGTAATTAACAAAGTTGTGTGTGATGTACACAGAGTCTGATTTTTCAGCCTGCTCGACACTTCTGAATCTATGATGTGTGTGTGTGTGTGTGCTTGTAATTACGCTGTGTTTCCTTGACACTTTCGTCTGAAGCTCAGCGTGTGTGCATGCTATATGGAGCGTGTGTATTCGTGTGTGGAAGCGTATGTGTATGTTTTAGTCTAAGTATTAATAATACAATTTCATCCGAATGACAGTCTCTCTGACCAATTAATTGTAAATCGTATTATAAATGGAGTGACACTAGCTCTGTGCACCCTACTTTATTAAGCAACAGGGAATGATAGGATAGACAGTGAAAATAGCATATTCTCAGGAAATGGTGCTATTTATGCTAATACTATATGTCTATCTATCTATCTATCTATCTATCTATCTATCTGTCTGTCTGTCTGTCTGTCTGTCTATCTATCTATCTATCTATCTATCTATCTATCTATCTATCTGTCTGTCTGTCTGTCTGTATTCAGAATTGTCTTAATTAGCATATAGCATCACAAACATTATTGTGTTTTGTACCAAGAACAATTTCTCTCTTATAAAACTTTTTTTCCTCTAACTAATAAGATGTCTGAAAATCAGACCATTATTTTTAAAAGCAGGAATGTCACATCTATGGAGGTGAACAAAAAGTACAAGGACAAAGATAAATTCTGCAATTTTCAGAAATGTGTTTAGAACAAAAAAAATGCAGATGGTGAAAGCACAATATTTTAATTTCAATGAAAGCAACTTTTTTTTTTTTACTCTGCATAACCCATTAAAATGTCATGGTGATGAATGGAGACCTGCAAATTATATGATATTGTGAAAGACTGTGACAAATGTTTAAGAATAAAAAGAATGCTTTATTTTAAGTTATTTCGCATTTGTACACTACGTCTTTCAAATAATAATGTGAAGCAAAGTTTTCTGTTAAAGTTACACTGTTTTAGCATATTCTTAGCTAAAAACACTTAGTTCTTTCAAAAATATATGTGCTCACTAATGTATATTTACTTCGTTCAAGTAATAAAGTTTTCTCGTGAGTGTATAATATGCCATTGAAAATACATACGGGTAAGGGTTTCTAATGTCGGTCGCCATGTTGCCCCTCCATCTTGAAAGTACATTGGCCAAAGAGGGACATAATTCAAGCTTCGCCTTTCGCGTTTACGTTTGAGGTAACACTCATGGACGAGGTCGAACTGGAAACCATGTTAATCTTGGACTACATTGGCCACCGTAGGAGCACGAAATCGGAATTGAGAGGAACAGAAACTAAAATTCACTGGATGGTCATATACCTTTTTACCGCTAGATAGGGGTAAAAATCACACAGTGTAGCTTTAACTACCTCAGTAAGTTATGGGGACACTTAATGTCCAAATGGCACCCTTTTCAGATAAAGACCCAATATATCGTAATGAAAGAAATTAAGACTCTTCTCTACTACAACATCTAGCTTTGAATTATTTATTGTTTGTTTTTCAGAGCTTCCTTATGGCTGGGAGAAAATCGATGACCCTATTTATGGAACCTACTATGTTGAGTAAGTTCAACTGCTTGAGTTAACACACACACACACACACTTTAATGGCACTATGGCTCATTTTCTCACAGCTATGTGTTAATTGGTTATATAGCTGCTGCACCATGCTCGTGACGAAAAACAGATGCTCCGGTGTTTCCTAATTCAGTTTGCAGTGTTTGCGTGTGTGTGTGTGCCATCATTTTTCTTGCTTAATGCACAGTCTGGGGTGAGGTGGAACTATTTATAGTATGGCTTGCTTGGCTACTCTTCCTCCCAGGACAGAGGAGAACAGCAAGCCTAAAGCCAATAATGCAGCTGTTGTATCATGTGGATCATAAAAGCAGCACTGCATCCTCGCCTGGTGTCCTCAGATGGGATTATGGAACTTCATGTCTTTGAACTGTAATCATAAAGAATCGGTATATCTAACAACCTGCTTTGTTGGGTATTTATTATCAATGCTTATTATACTTTAAATTATATATAATAAACATTGATAATATATATTTTGTATATACAGTATATATAATTTCAATTGTGCTGCTGTTACGTGAATTTCCCCTTTGGGTGTTGAGTTGAACTTATCTTTCTTTATCTTATCTACTCAAATATTTTCTTGGAAATCTGTCTGTCTGTCTGTCTGTCTGTCTGTCTGTCTATCTATCTATCTATCTGTCTATGTCTGTCTGTCTATCTGTCTGTCTGTCTATCTATCTGTCTATGTCTATCTGTCTATGTCTATCTGTCTGTCTGTCTGTCTATCTATCTATCTATCTATCTATCTATCTATCTATCTGTCTATCTGTCTGTCTGTCTGTCTGTCTGTCTGTCTATCCTTCTGTCTGTCTGTCTGTCTTTATCTTCTATCATCTGTCTGTCTGTATGTCTATCTTCTATCGTCTGTCTGTCTATCTATCTTCTATCATCTGTCTGTCTGTCTGTCTTTCTATCTTCTATCATCTGTCTGTCTGTCTGTCCTGTTTCCATAATGCAATATGTATTATTGTGAACCAGATGTTTTTTTTTTGTTTTTTTTTTATTTTATTTTTTTTTTATTTTACTTATTTCTTAAGTAACAAGAGTTATTATTTAAATACTTTTTGTCTAATATATTGAAAGGAAGAAAGGCCCATCCTCAGTAGTAATGGTACAATTGTGGGTTTTATGTTGTGGAAGATGACAGCTGAGTAGATCAGAAGCTGCATCTGGTGTGAAATGACTGTAATTTACTATAAATCTGTGTCTAGTGGCTTTTTAGAGGAGACACTTAACAAGAACATTATGCATAAAGCTTATCATTTGTATTTGTGTTGTGTGTGTATTTTCTGGTTAAATGAGACATCACTTTACCCTTTACAGTCGGTATTAAATAGAACCAAGCCAGAACCAATTCCAAGACTGCATGGTTTCTACTTTGCCAAACCTTTGCTTAATGTGCAATAAGAAAGTGTAGAATTGATGTAAGCTAAACCGAGAGGGACAGTACTAGGAACAAATTCCATTTGCTCATTATACTTTGATCTGTTGAATTAATTTCAAGCTTTAGACCTCAAAAGAAATCTAAAACCAATGTCCTCAAAATTGACCTTGCATAGTCTTGGCACAAAGCTGCAATTACAAATGCCACGTCGATACAAGAAAGCATTACCTCTTTTCAACAGAATGTCTTTTAATGGGGCCTAATTGTCTTTGTACTTTCAAATGGCATGGTTTTCAACAGTGCTTTTTAAACAGATTGAATTAACTCTGACAGCAAGTGTTGTACAGACCGTCAAAAGAGCCATTTTTCTTCCAGATCAGAGGATGCTCTCATTACTGTCTGATTTCATTCTTACATCACTCTTTAAAAAAAAAAAAAGATAAAGACTAACTGATTTTTCTGTTTTTCTCAATGACCACAGCTTGTTTGATTTAAAATTACTTGTTAAAATGTATTCAAATTAACACTCATGCTTTTTCTTGTATAGTGCATAGCATTTAATGGCTTGTTTCAGTATTTGTTTGCTGGGGGTGGACAATTCTTGGGTGGGCAAAATGGTTTGCATTGATCAACCATGAGAAATTGTACAGATTGTACAGATCAAGTTTTCAAAGTGCACAAAGCAAGGGACCAATGGCATAACTTCATGTATGCTTCATTAATATTGATAGGTCATTACCACTCCCACGCATAAACCTCTTCTGACAAAAAAACCTCTTCTGTCATACAAAGTATAAATTAATGTTGTGTTTTATGTTAAGGATTAGGCAGAATCATTTTCACATCATTTCGAAGCCAGCGACAACATCCATTAGTCAAGTCTTGTGGACACATATTTAGTATGTGTTTTGTGGTCTTATTTCAGCAACTTTCATTTTAAAAATTCTTACTAACCATGCATAAACATTATTCTCTACATGTACATACATGTTGCTCACATATGATGGTAGCCCTGTTTGTGCTATATAGAGTGAATTTACACCTTTGCCATTAATATGTTTATAAATTACTGAAAAAAGCACGGATGTCAGTGCATGTCAAAACATCCCAAGGACCCCAAATACACCTTGGCCCCCAGGGGGTTTATAGCCAGTTACTGATATGGAATGTGCCATGTATGCATTGCATGCAAGTTTAGTGAAATAATTAATCCGAGATGGAGTCAACAGTGTTTATTATAAATATATTTCATTCAATACCAAATATCAATGATTTTTGGTTGTAAAACAAAGGGTTTTGATACAGTTTTTGCTTGCCATTTGTTGGCCAATATAAAATCTGTGTCCTGAAGCGAAATTAGTTGCTTTTGAGTACCTTTAGCATAAGGCTGGAACACACTACATGAATTTTGTGAATATTTTGCTAGTCAATGCTAGTTGCCAAAAGTCAGTGCCATTCTGCAGATATTGGGCAGTCAGAGTTGATATGTTTTATAAAATAGCTGCTTTCATAGGTATAGTGGACTATGGTATCCCAAATTTGTTACTTATTATGAGGTTCCATTTCAGTTAAAATGCTCCCTAAAAAGGCAGTAGTCAGTAAGGCAGAACGCTAGGTGGCTCATATATTGAATAGTCATGTATTTTCAAGTAGCCAAGAAATAAACTTGAATGAATCTCTATTTGTGGTTTTCTGATTGCAGTCACATAAACCGAAGGACTCAGTTTGAGAACCCAGTTTTAGAGGCCAAGAGAAGACTGCAACAGCAGCAGCAGATGCAGAGTCAGGGCTTGTCCTCTCTCCCCCTACCTACAGTCTACAGAGGTAAAGTATTACTGATATCTTAAAAATTCCCTGAGGAATTTTAAGGTGTAGTACTTGTGCAAACCTGGATAAACATTGTGGTTCCCAACCATCTTAGGCACACCGATGACATCATAATAACACTTATCTTCTCTCCATGCGATGGCATGTTTAACATCAAATCTGTTGGGATTGCTGATTGAGGCTTGGTGTTCATGACTATTATTATATTTCTCTTATGAGCTCAGTGTCTGTCTCCATAGAAACATCTAAGCTCGTTGTCTTTTGTGGTGTACTCTCTGTGAGTGAACTTATTGTTAAGCATATTACTTTCTTACAGCCAGACCAAATAAATCATTCAGACTGGCTTTGTGTAATTATTATGAACCTTTTTATAAGATGTAATATTAAGTCTCTGGTGTCCCTTGAATGTGTCGGGACGTTACTTCTCAAAATACCCCACAGATAATTATTAAAGCATGTCCAATTTGCCCCCATTTAGGTGTGGGCAAAAATCACACTGTTTTCGTGTGTGTGCCATAAAGGGTTTGTTCACCCCAAAATGAAAATGATCCCATAATTTACTCACCCTCCAGCCATCCTAGGTCCATTTGACTCTCTGCCAAACACAATCAAAGTTATATTAAAAAAAGCCTCTTCCAAGCTTTATAATTGAAGTGAATAGGAACCTAGTTTTTGATGTGCCAAAAAAAGCACATCTATCCATAATAAAAGTAATCCTAAAAATATAAGAAAAATAAGAAAAAAATAGGTAAGAAAAATATCCATTTCTGTCAGGACCACTATTGTCAAATACGATTGACAATTAGTATACAGTTTGGATTGATATTTTTCTGTTCTGGGCAAGAACTCCCTGCGCATCCATGCAGGCTAGCATGGATAAGAGCAGGGAGAGCAGTAATAAAATTTTAAAATCCGGGATATGAGCATATTCAGGTTTTTGCCGGTGTTTACATGGCCGTTCACGACCGGGTTATTGCTAATATCCCGGGTTATTGGCTATTATTGCTAATAGCCAATAACCCGTTGATTGCTAATATCAACGGGTTATTGGCTGCATGTAACGTAGTCAGTGATAGGTGTCTTATTCCTTTAGGTAGACGTGGATATGCTGAGTGTCAGCTGATGCAAGCTTGACTAACGTCACTGCCAGAACTGACGCTACACTTGATATTTATAACTTTATAAACTATTTCCAGAGGAAGAGTGACCTCTGACCCGACATATGATGTACAGTAGGAGTAGTGAAAGGTTTTCTATCGAGGTTAAAACAAATAGGGCTGGGCAACAAATTCAAGCTCCTCTTCTCTAATATCAGAATCCTCCAACATTTCTCTGTAAAAATAATCCTTTTAGACTTCTAATTCACAGTGATTTGTTTTGCTCTATCCTCTGGGCTGCATCTCTATTCTTTAAAGCCTTTGTCTCTATTCATTGTAAATGCATGAAAGGAATAAAACAGTACTTTATTCAGAATTTCTCCTTTTGTGTTCCATTGAAGAAAGACAGAACATTCAGGTTTGGATGGGCATGAGGATGAGTAAATAATGAAGGAATTTTCATTTTTGGTGAACTAATCCTGTAAATACAGCTGTACAGTCTCTTTGAGCTACGCCTGAATGCTTCCTGTTTTCTTTGAGACTCGGTTGTCAAATGAGAATGTGTCTTCTTTCATAATATGACCTTGGACGTATGTGTACATTTCTAGTAATAATTCCTTCTTTAGTTTATCCATTCAGAATGGTCATTCTGTTACCCACATAAAGGTAAGAGGAAGAGTATGTTCAGCCAGAATGGACGTTAACAAGAAGAATTTTCTTTAACTTGTTTTAATCCATCTTTTTGAGAGAGCAGGCTTCATTAGAAACCTCCAACATACCTACACTATATGGCCAAACGTACTGTATGTGGACAGCCGAACACCACATTTAATTTCAAAACCATTCGCCATTAATGTTAAGGAGTTGGTCCTCCCTAACAGCTCTCACTCTTCTTGGAAGGCTTTCCACTATGTTGGGTCTTGTCTGGAGGGATTTGCTCCCATCTAGACACAATAGCATCAGTGATGTAACTATGTGTTCCAATTCATCACTAAGTTTTTCTATAGGAAATTCTATATTTTTAGATAGGTCTGGTCTTTGTGCTGGCCAGTCAATTTCTTCCATACCAGAATCATGTGTCCACAAAAGAGAAGTACAGTACCTTGAGATTTAAGCAAAGATGGATCATATAGTAATGAGAAATCATTTACTTGATCTGGATGCTCAGATGTTAAATGTTGACTGGTACAGAGCGTACTCCTTTAATCCATAGGAACACCTCCTCTTTCTTTAGTAGATCAATTTTGTGGTGACCGCAATTTGCCAAGTAGGACATGTTCTGGATCAACATATTTTGTTGGCACCTAACCCTATTCCTAGACACAAACCCTAACCATAACTACCCATAAACCAAAGAAAGACTTCAACTCCAACCCTGTCCCTAACCCTAAATTTAGCCATTAAAACTGATTGTTGGGACCGTTCTTCCAGGACCAACAAGGATGTTCAACTTGGCAAAATCAACCTAGATTTCCTGTTAAAATGTAACACCTTTATCTCCATAGTCGGCCAAATTTGTATCCTACAATGCCAGTTACAGATTTTGTGTGTGAGTTGATGATGCAACCCCAGTTCTACTGTATGTCTAGCCTTAAACTCTAAAACCAGATTATTCGCAATGGGTGGACCAACAAGGGTGTTCAAATTGTCAAACTCACCCTAGAATTTCCCGTTGAAATGTAACTCTTCTATGTCCAGAGTAGACCTACCTTATATTATATACCTACCTGTATAAATAACATTTCTTGATTTCCTGTGTGAGTTGAGGGTTTTTGTTCTCTGTAACAGTAGAGGAGAGCCCCTCCTCTGCCACCCTACCAAGGGCCAGACTGGCATATGTGGGTCCCGCTCCCGAGCGCTCTCACAGTCTCACTGACCTCTCCGAGGCCCCTCTGTACCGGGCCGGTGTGTTTGGACTGCATGGTACGTCCCTGAACCGGTGCCCCCTTGGTGCAAGGGGAGGCTACAGCAAGAGTCTATTCGCCTGTTCTGTTTTTGCATAGTCCTTAAGTTCCTGTAAGGAACATTCTCTCAGTTTCATTGGAACCAGTGGAGACTTTTTGTTGGCTTTTAAATTTTTTTTTTTGGTTTTGTATTTTACTTTTTGCCTGCGCTTCCAGGATTTTTATGAGTACCTACCCTGCTGAATAGACCAGCATAATTGGACACCATCATATGTATGGCATGCTGGTTTGTAACAAATTGCTATTTCCAAAAGCCAAGTAATTTTTGAGAGTAGAATTGTCAGTTTATCTAGATATGTTTTATTTTATCTTTAAAATTCAAGCTTTTATATTTTGCCATAAGTTATTTTTTTTATGTAGCTTAAATTGTTCATATCATTGAAAGCAATATATACAGATATATCCCTACTGGGTGTTAGTGCCCCAAAATTCTCTCTGAAGACATCATTCAAGCATGATACATTGAGATCTTTTCACGATCCGAACAACTTCCGAAAGACAAAATCAAGTGCTGCTCTTAATTTTAATCTTATTACAGAATATACTTTTTCGCTCTAAAATACGAACAAATCCCATTTTGTGTGGCATTTATAACCATCCAGAAAACCTACCAATTTTTCCCATATCTATTTTAACCTACAAGGCTACCTTAGTCAACCAGCTGCTCCAGCTACGTATTGCTGGTGCTGGTCTTTCAGCAGGGTATCTGGACCAGCTATTGTCCCTAACAAACGCATGGCAGAAACTCCAAAGACTAGATCTGGCCTACATGAAAAAAGACTTAAGAACCTAAGAAAAGAAGAAAATAAGATTTGACTAAGTCTGGCATTTTGTAAATCCATAGTGTGTACTGAAGTAGGTATCTCTTCAGTTTGAAGAAGCAGCTCTTCAGTACAAAGGTCCTTGTTTGTGTGCGATTACAACGAAACGGCTTCTCCAGAACAGTTTTCGAGATTGCTTTTCTCCACTCTGAGAGAACAGAAGAACCGCTTTGCCTGTGCTGGTTCTTCTCCTGGCTTTTTTTTTTTTTTTTTTTTTTTTTGCTTAAGTCTTGGCTGTCTTGAGAGATGGCCCTGGACAAGGCTAAACACTGTTGAGTGTAACATTGGAGTATGCCTAAAGAGCCAAAAGTGAGGCTTGAGCAAAAAACAAACCCATCATGTCCCACTCTGCTCTTGTATGTTTGGCTGTAAGCTGAGCGCTTGGCCTTCTACCCACAATTCCCCAGTGTGATGTGATCTGCTGCTTTTGATGAGTTTGGAGTGGCTTTTACAAAGTAACCCATTAATTGTTGGATATCTTTTGCTTGATTACAATCTCATGTTTCTATCTGCATTTCTTCGCCCTGGCAGAGAAGCCTCTGTTCACGCGGGACCCTACGCAGCTGAAGGGCAGCTTTCTGTCTACAGCCCTACAGAAAAGCAACATGGGATTTGGTTTCACTATCATTGGCGGTGACGAACCGGATGAGTTTCTACAGGTCAAAAGTGTCATACCGGACGGGCCTGCTGCACAGGATGGGAAAATGGCTACAGGTAAACACACACACTAACACACACACACACACTTGCAGGTCAATGTTTGAACTGCACTAATGTGCTTTTGTCACACAAACACCGCTCCCAGCTGGCCAGTCTCTCTCAATCTCTGTTTGTGCCCACACTACTGACAAGGTTACGGTGTAAATTTGTCATTTTTTTGGTTGATGGTGCTTTAGGGACATCCAGGGGTTAAATGCATTTACGGACGCTGTATTTATGGACTTTGTGCATTATCCACAGCAGGGCATGTGTCCATTAATCACAGTGGGACTTTATAAATCCTGCTTTTCCAGTCCAGCCTAGTGGAAGTGTGACTGCGGCAGCATTACTCACACACACATACAGTACAGTACATCAGCATTGAAATACCTCGTACATTCAGAGGGACCCAAAGTGCAGAGTTCAGAATATAATCAATGCGTCTTTATTGTGATGATAAATTAATATTTTATGACACTTTATTGTAATCCTCTCTGCTGCTTTCTTCTCCTTTCTGCTCCTCTTTTCCACCCTTCACACTCCCTTTGGACTCCTTGTCCTACTTGTGCTGTTTCACAATCACACACACACACACACACACACACACAGACAGTGCTCTGGAGGAGCAGGTCTACGCCAGTTTGAAATCTTCAATTCTGCTGGATTAGAGTACTGGATTAGAGTACTCGACGAGGAAACGATCTTGCAGTGGACATACATACAGTTCATAACTTCATAATTATCACAAGTGTTGGGGAATGTATATTTTGAAGAACCCATGTAATCAAAATTGGATTTTTTTTTGTTGATTTTAGTCGGTGTGTTAGGCTAATCTGTATGCTAATGTGCCTGCACTCTAAAAAATGCTGGGTTGTTTTAACCCAATTTTGGGTCAAATATGGACAAACCCGAAATGTTGGGTTAAAAATGTAATGTAAAAATTTAACCCAACGGCTGGGTTAGTCCATATTTGACCCAAAGTTGGGTTAAAACAACCCAGCATTTTTTAGAGTGTGTTAATGTTGATTAAAACACCTTTAGTTGACTAAAATATCAATGACTCATCCCCCACTTCACAGATCAGATCCAAATTCAGTCAGATGGTCTCTAAAATGAGATTGCCCCTCTAGCAAGTTGCAGCCGACTAGCTTGTAGCAAATTTTGGCACATTAAGCAATTACAGATAATTCACACTAATTTATCAGGATTGCTTACTAATTGTATTTTCAGAATTATCCTTACTAATATATTTCTGACTTGTCTAATTGAAATGAAATATGATCATATTAATGTTAAGATAAGAAATGTCCCTCAATAAAAAAACTAAACTAAACTTGTGGCAATGAGAAAAGGAAGTTGTTCCCTCAACATTTTTCCATCCATCAATCTTCTTCCGCTTATTTTGTTGCACTTTATTTTGTTGGTCCCCCAACAGACATTCAACTCACTATAAGTAACTTGGCGACTACGAGTCAACTTATTCTCCTTACCCGAACCCTAACACCTAACCATAACCTAACAGTCTACTGACAGTCGACTATAATATACTAATACTCTAATGAGAGTTACTTGACATGTAGTTGAAAAGTTACTTATAATTATAGTAGAACGTCTAAAGTGACTATCGAAATAAAGTTCCTAGACATGAAAATAATTATTGGTTAATTGTTATTGTTTTTTTTTTAAAATATACACATTTACAAACAATTAATGTGCTATTTTTCTGTTCATTAGTGCTGTTTGCTAAGGCAAATCATAGCTGCCTCTGCTGTGTTGATCTTTACTCTGCCCCTCACAGCTGTGCCGGAGTCCTCTCATAAAGAACTTAACTAGCAGATAATGAGTTGAATCAGGTGCACCAGTGTGCTGCTGAAGGACAGGAAGCACACAAATCGTATGCCTGCTGGAGGATCTCTGCATTTGATGTTTAGAGCTTCATTTGTGTAGGATGTCTATTGTGTCTCAGCAGCGATGTTTAGGGGATTGTGTATTGATTGTATTTGTTTAGAATGCCAGTCACAGAGCGGTGCTCCTTTGGGTTTCTATGCATGCACAGACATAAGATGTCTCAGACGCTGGATCCCAAAGCACCTTTTATGTTGTCTTGCTGTTATTAGTTTTACGTAGCCTCTTCAGAACAAGACTGTTGTTCAATTGCTCGGTTGCTCGGTTTATATATAATATATTTTATAGACAATATTATATATAGTTCAGCTGCTTGGTTTAATGAGGTTATACAATATATAGACACAGTATTATATATTCATACACATTTGTTGATTTCTATATTGCTATTTTCAAATCTTTTTTTATATGAAAACATTCTATTAGCATCATAACAGTTGAATACAAATATTAAGAGGAATTTAATGATATAGAGGGATAATTATAAGTTTAATAAAAAAAAAGTATAGTTTCAACCAAACAGACATTTTTGCCTGGTAAAAAATGTAAATGTTTTTAGAACTAAAACACTGAAAATCTTGTTAAAAACAATATGTCGGTATGTTTTCCACACTCCTTTTTTACAACAGCAGCAACAAAGAAAATAAATAAATAAATAGTATTTAATTATTTTAATTTAATTAATGCACCAAAATAACAATAAGAAGCAAAAGACAAAAAATATGCACTTATTTTAAATGAAATATAAATAAATATGTAAAACACTTTTGAATGATTAATGACTCATTTCATTCAATTAATTGTATCTGAATATATTATCTGATTCATTGAAAATAATCAAACTTGCTGTTTTTTTGTTATTAGTGTCAGACGCCCTATTAATACATCTCTATTTAAATGCTCTCATAATGCTCTCATAAGTCACTAAAAAGGTGATAGATATAAACAAGTCCTAGTTGTTTTACAGGCATTTATTACCCACTATCATCACACACAAGCAAATTCTAAAGCAGAACAGGACAAGATATGACAAAATGTTTCATGTTCATTTTTAAGCTTTAATCTGGGAGCTGTTAAAAATACACTTGATACTAAAGAGGTAAGTTTGAATTTTAAGTAGATGATAATGTTTCATTTGTTGGAATGTAGTGATCTGGTTTGCCCTGTGGGGCTTTGGCCTAGATTGATGCTGACATAAAGTTAGGTGTGAAACAGTGAGGTCACAGCGATATCATTTGCTCTCTAGAAGCATGTGAAATTATTGATTGGAACACCAGAGGCTCTAGGCAAATGTCGAACGTATTTACCGAGATTAATTAAAATTTCTGCACACAACAGTCAGGAGGGGACAAGCCTATCGATAGACGCGTACGGCCCTGCATGAAATGTCTCCAGGAAACCAGTAACACAACAGACACTCTGTGAGACCCCGTGATCTTGTTTATCCCACAAATACATTGGCCGCATTTTCTAAAATCATCTCATTTCCATAATAGTTGGATTTCTGATAATTCATTCTTTGCCAGCATTGAAAGATAGGAAGGAAAAGCCAAAATTAGGCTTGAAAACATAAAACAAATGTTAAATCAAATGTTTTTCACAACACAAGCTTGATTTCACATTGTGGGCAAATTGAATGAGTGAAAAAGAGAAGTGAAGATCACACTTAAGGCTTGAAGCATATAGCGACACTTTAGGATTTGGGAATTATTCCTTCAAATTGGTGCGCTGTAATTGTTAGTTACCAGGGGAGATGATATGAATAAATATTGGATCACTAAAATCATTGAAAATTTGGGGAAAGTTTTTCACCCTGATTAAAGTTTTTTTGTTTATTTTGTTTTTATCTCTGTTCCAAAACCTAGTGAGCTGTTTAGTCCTCGTATTCCTTAGAAACATTCACAGGCAGCGAGCCACACAAATGGCATTTCTCATGTAAAGCACACATGAGATTTGACTTCTCTAGTCAAAAAGAAAGAATCCTAAAGGAGTACTAATTAAATTTAATGATACGTTGGAACCAACCCTAAACAGTTCTAATGAGATATTACCACAATAGCAAAATTGTATTCAAAAATTATGAATAAAAAAACATTCTGAGGGGAAAAATACACTGAAATAAACTCAATTGGAATTTCAGTGTATCCAGTTAGATTTAGATCATTTGTAAAGTGTTTGTATTGAGAATGAGTTCCAAATTATGATTATTAATAAACTCCAACCGCATTTCAGTTGAGTACTGAAGCCATAGTGAAGATTTATGGAGTTTACTTTAGCGTGTTGCTAAACTAATGACTTATCACTCTCATAAGCACGAAATGTACAGCACACACAAATAATAGAGCAGATACACAAAATAGATGGTTGACATTAGCATGTTGCTAAGCTAATAAGCACTCCATTAGCACAAAAATACACAACACACACCAATAATGGAGCAGAAAGTTAAAACTAGTAGTTTTACATTAGCATATAGTTAAGCAATGACTTATCACTTTCATAAGCACAAAATGCATAACAGAAACACATAATGGAGCAGACAGTCAAAACTGATTTTAGTTTGATATTAGTCTGTTGCTAAGCTACCAAGTTAGAAATCTCATTTGCACAATTACACAGCACAGACAAATAATAGAGCAGATCAACTGATAGTTTGATATTAGCATACTGCTAAGCTAATGTCTACAATTTTAGAAGCACAAAAATACACAAATAATCAACATATATGTAATTAGATTAATGATCAGTGCTTTTTTAATTGAATTGACTCGTATACCATCTTGGATGAATTTTGTCTCTGTGCTCATTGCAATGCGTTTTGGGAATGAGGTATCTTTTAACCCTCTGAGGACCTTTTTTAGTACTCTTTTCAGTTGCTTATAAACATATTAATGGCACAGGTGAAATTACACTATATTTAGCAGAAACAGGGCTACCATAATATATGAGCAACATGTATGTACATGTTTGTATTTTTGAGAGAATATTGTTTATGCGTGGTTATTGTAAAAACAAAAAATGAAAGTTTCTGAAATAAGGCCACAAAACATACTAAATAAGCGTCCACGAGACTTGACTAATGGATGTTGTTGCCTAGGGTTATTTCTTCACAATGACCTGAAAATCATCCTCCTAATCGTTCACATAAAACTGTGAATTGGGTTAAATTGTGAAAAACATTTTTTTTGTTTGCACATTTTTTTGGTCCTCAGAGGGTTAAAGAAGCATTATTATTTTTAAGGTTAAATGCTCATCTTTTAGAACCGCTTTTGCTTCTGGGCCGCATATACCATATCTGCCAGAGCTAATATATGCTAATCTATCTTTCTTTCTGTCTAACTGTTTTCCAGGAGACGTGATTGTCTACATTAATGACGTCTGCGTCCTGGGCACCACCCACGCTGATGTGGTGAAACTTTTCCAATCTGTGCCAATCGGACAAAGCGTAACCCTCGTCCTTTGCAGGGGTTACCCTCTTCCTTACGACCCGGAAGACGCAGCCAGCACCTTGCTGTCCCCCCTTGGCCTCATTGATCGCCCTCTGCTGGTCAACGGACAGAATAGCTACGACAGCTACATGGAGTACATCTCCCGCACCGCTCGCTTCATTGACCCCCTCCATACTACGTTGCCTCATCCCCACCCTGGAGACACCCACCTGGACGCCGGACCGCTGGAGGACAGCGTCTCAATGGCATCGTCAGGAGCGGCCGGTGGAGAGCTGCTAACAGTTACCATGGTGAAAGGTGCGGATGGGTTTGGATTCACCATTGCAGACAGTAATGGAGGACAGAGGGTGAAGCAGATTCTGGAGGCGCAGGGATGCCCGGGGCTCTGTGAGGGCGATCTGATTGTGGAAATTAACCAGCAACCCGCATTAACCCTGCCACACACGCAGGTGGTGGAGCTGCTAAAAGAGTGTCCTGTTGGGGCAGAGGCTACGTTGGTCGTACAGAGAGGAGGGGCAGGTAAGAAAGGCTTATGTTTATGGTGGTGTAGGTGGGTGTTTTGGGTTTTGTGTGTATTTCGCGGCCTTACATACGGAAATGTCTCTTAATTGATTGATTGGTCCATTTTGTCCTTTTTAGCAGTTTTATAATTCACTCCTTGGCTTTCTCAAAGCACTGAGTCACACTGAAGAAGAAGCTGTTTCTGGTATTGACCTTCACTGTGTAGGAAAGCACTATGGGTAAAAATAGACTCTGACACATAATTACAGTAGTATACAAATATGCATACACCTTACCTGTGTGCTTGGTATATTAATATCCTGTCTTCTGTACAAGAACTGTTACATAACATGCTTTCACACACACACGCACAAACCTAAAATTCACAAGAGATTGGCATGGTAATGAATATGGCAATATGGTCTTGGCGGAATAGCTGCTCCTACTACTGCAGAGCAAGTACTTGCAATACATTTACAGACATGTATGACATGCTGCAACCGTAGATAATTTAACCCCCATAGCAGATCTATACAGGTGGAGCTGGGGAAGATGGAGGGTTTCTGAAACCACGCTGCATACTGCTAACTGCTAACCTGCGTTTGTTTAAATGTTGAGCCGCAGCTCACTGGATGCTGATGCAACCGCAACAAATCAGCTGTGCTATGTTGATAATGATGTGATCGCTACCAAGTGAGTTAAAGACCTATCAGCCTGCACCATCTAGTGTTTCATGCCAGAACTAGGTAATATTGAAGTTTTTAAGCCTTAAGCAAGTCTGTTAGCTTTGAGGATATAATCTATATGGTAGGCCTTATGGTGAGGTCACATTTACCATTGCTCGTCATAATTTTGTGAGTACAATCTTGTCATTTCAGTAGACTCAGCATGTTGCTAATCTAAATTCAAAATCTAGAAATCTGCTCGGCTTGAAATTGACTTTGGTATGCTTTATATGTACGTGCCATTTACTATGCTATGCTGTTGACAATGGAAAGTGGACCTTTTTGCTCTCAGAATTTTGCCTAAATTACACTAGTGATCGTGAAAAAAATTAGCAGATCTTTAATATGTACCGTTTTGAAATTATGGTAAAATGGAGGAAAGGCTAAAAGCTGTTGACACCTTGGATATGTTCCACCTTCAATCCAGGAAAGAAAACTGCAGTCGTCAAGCCATTTCATGGAGTCTTTAAAGTTAAACTGAATTCAAAATTGATCCCAAAACTGATGCCAAACAGCTATTTTAAGCTTCACGCGTGGCAAAGTGTAGTGATGTGCTTTCCAGCACAAACACTTCCTACACTCACGAACACCGTGTCCCAGACACCTACACTGTCTCACATAAAAATGATGGTTTGCTGGTTCAGTGTCTAGCTTTCGAGGTGCAGTGAATCAATACTGGTTATTTTGCAGTGCTGCTGATTATTGCTGGTGATAACTTGTTTCTCACCCGAGACTGATTTTAAATTATCCCCAATTAATTAAGTAATTGATTACTGCAGCTATTCAATAAAAAAAAAGCCAGCTCTGCAGTCATTTTCTGTATATCACTGATTCTTGAGACCTGGGACAACATTTTATATGCCGTAGTTTATATATATATATATATATATATGATGGTTTGACAGATTGGAAGATAACTAGAATGTACATTTACATTTATTTAATTTTTTCCTTTTTTATTTAAATTAAATTATATATATAATTATATATATACACATATATTATATATATATAAAAAGACCTTAACTGACTGACATTTATAATTAAAGTCAGCCCTCATCCTGAAAGTCGTATTTTGATATTTATTTCTAATAAGTTCTTATAGGGTTGGGTTATATAGTTTTTGAATCATTTTAAATAATTCTTTCTTTTCTTTATTTATTAATTGTATTTATTTTTTTCAAAAGATCGACCTGAAAATCAATTTTGATTCCAGATAGTATTACTATATTCTTTTTTGGAGTGATTTTAAGATCTGTATTCATATGAAGTATTTGGCTCATTAATATCTCACAGTGATATTGGTTGAAAGGTTTAATAAAAAAATGTATACTGTATGTGAAAAAAATGGAAGAAAAATGTTGTTCCTGAACATGTTTAGTAGATTAATTCAATATAAGTTCATGACTTTTTTTTCTTCTGTTCTATTGCCTATTTTGTTTCAATAATCAGTGGTATGAGAGCAGCCTGTCCAGCATGTCAAAACCCAGAAAGCATATAATTTGAGCACTAATTGCAGTTGGAAGCACTCGTCGTTTTTTTTTTTTTTTTAAGCCTGTGGTTTTAGGCCGAAATTAATTGTGAGTCATTTATGTTTGGAAATGAAAAGGCAGCAAAAGCTGATCCACATGCATCTGTCTATACTGCAGAAAAGCACCTCGTTCAATACGTTTTAGTATTCAATACAAAGCTTCAATGGCTTTAGATCTAACTGACACCCTTACTGAGAACATGTAAGCTCTTTTTAAAAGCTGCTTGAGTCAGTGTGATTTATGACCCGTAGCAATCAGAGAGTCTGATGTAACACATTGAGAAAGAAACCGAGGGGACATGTAGAATAAAGATGCAGGACAGAGAGAAGGAATAGAGGTCTTTACCCTCAGGAGACCCACTGTGGCAAAACTGCAACATTTGTTCAAAGCAATTAAATAATGTTGCACACTCCAATCTCAAAACCTTTAAAGAAAAGTCACATTTCAGCCCTATACCAAAAGGATGAAAAAAAATATTTTTTTTGGAATAAATAGTGTCATTTACTATTGCACTACTTGGTCTAATAGACATATTACAATTGGATATGTGCAATAGGTATAATTTTCTTCAATATAATGTCAGAATTCATCGTTGAGGGTTAATCATAAGAAAGTGGGAAAGAGGAGGTGAAGAAAATAGAGTGCTAGAGAGACATTGCATGTCTTCTCTGAGTCAGTGTAGGTCAAAGGTTAACGAGAGAGACATTAAATCCTCGTTAGATTACAGCCTCTATGTGCTTTACATACAGGATGAAGAGCGAACACACTCCAAAGCACACACTCTCATAAGTACACAACTTATTTTATGAACTTTTAAAAATGTATGATTGCATTATACTAACAAAATATCAATCCAATAATTTGTTTTAAAGGATAGGATTTTTTTAAAGGAAAACATTTCATTAAACATTACATTTCACAGTTTTAAGTGACAAATAATGATGACATCATGCTGCTTCAAAAGTGTGCATTCAGCTCTATTGTCAGTTAGTTCGTTTAAGAACGATTAGTGGTCCAGACGTCACCTTGATTAATCCTGATCACGGTTATTGGTATTCATTGCTTACTTCATTATCTTAATGCGTTAAGATTTGTGCCTCACCAAAGTGAAGTGTAATGTAATTACATTATGTGTGTTTGCAAGGGCACTGACCCACAACTAGGGTGTATGTTTTGTTTCGAGTGCATGTGGGTAGGTACACTTCTGTGCCACCAACAGAATCAGCGTGCTTGAAGGTCATTATGGTCACTTGAATCCGAATATGGCCTAATGTCCCGTACATCAGCAATCTGTCGTATTCTCGTCCTCATCATCCTTGTGAGCAGATGAACCCTAGAACACTAGACAGCCTGTTGCATCATGTACCACTCGAGAACATCCGTCTGTTCAAACATACCGTGACTGACATAAGGAGGACAGAAGATGATTTGCACAAACCAACAGTTTCTGTCAAGCCAAGTTGCAGGGTCAGCTTTATTTAATGCTGCTTCCAACTTGTTTGCTGCACCTCTTCATTTCTGTTCTTCCTTTTCAAGCATTATATTCCAGATCTTCTGAACCAATACGATAGCTTTTATGTGCGGAAAATCCAGATTTACGCCATTCTTCTCTAGAAATCATAACATCCGAGTTTGTGAGAGAAGATCTTTTCTTTGAATTGATTTCTCCTTTTCACAAAATCAGTTGATTCATTGACAAATCAGATCCAATAGCTAGTCAATAGCTACAGAACTCTAATGTCGCTTTTCCATTACCAGTACCAGCTCGACTCGACTCGCCTCGCCTCGACTCAGCTCACTTTTCGCTCCGCTTTCCATTGCAGACAGTACCGCTACAAATAGTACCCGGTCGTCATAGCGACGCCTTTCGTTCCTAGTTGCCCCATCAAGCTCTCGCTGGATCCTCTCTTCGGCAACAAAACAAAGGAAAGTCTGCACATCATCGTTTGGCCACGCCATACTCTTCCGAGTTGCCATAATAGTAACTATCTCTGGCCGAACTATTTAAAAGTGGCGGCGTCCATCTGGCGCGTGCACTGATGACGCAGGTAATGGTGACGATTGTCTCTGACCAATCAGCTGTCTGCATTGTTTCACGTCACATTTTAGTATCGCCTTAAGTTTGCTCAGAACCTTGCTGGAGGTGATTCTAAAAAAAGTACCCGAAAGCAGGTACAGGTACAACTTTTACACAGTGGAAAACCAAACAAAGGCGAGCCGAGTCGAGTCGAGCTGGTACTGTGTAGTGGAAAAGCGGCATTAACGTTGTGTGGCCTTCAGATTAGCTCAAGAACAGTGCATAGAGAGCTTGGTTTCCATGGCCGAGTGGCTGCATCCAAGTCTTACCTCACCAAGTGCAATGAAAAGCATCGGATGCAGTGGTGTAAAGCACACCGTCACTGGACTCTAGAGCAGTGGAGAGGTGCTCTCTGGAGTGATGAATCACACTTCTCTGTCTGGCAAGCCGATGGATGACCAGGAGAACGGTGTTGCCTGACTGCATTGTGCAAGTGTAAAGTTTAGTGGAGGGGGGATCATGGTGTGGTAATGGTTTCAGGGGTTGGGCTTGATCTCTTTGTTCCAGTGAAAGGAACACTTAATGCTTCAGCATGCTAAGTCATTTTGGACAATTTCATGCTCCCAGCTTGTAGGAAATGTTTGGGGATGGCCCCTTCCTGTTCCAACATGACTGCGAACCAGTGCACAAATCAAGGTCCATAAAGACATGGATGAGCAAGTTTGGCGTGGAGGAACTTAACTG